ATATTTTAAAATTCACATTTGTAGGAATGTAATTGGCCCGTGGGGCGCCGAAACCCGCCCGCGAGCCAGGACGGGCCGGCCCGTTGACAATGTGAATATTCACATTGACATGTTAAAATTCACATTAATAGGAGTGTAAAATTGGCCCCCATCTCGTGGCGGCGTGAAACCGCCCGCGGCCTATGGGCGGCCCGGGACGGGCCCGGTCCGGCCCGTTCACAATGTGAATATTCACATTGACATGTTAAATTTCACATTGATAAGAGTATAAAATTGGGCCGCGGCCCATGGGCGGCCAAAAGCCCACCCGCAGCCCGGGGCGGGCCCGGCCCGCCCGTTGACAATGTAATATTCACATTGACATGTTAACATTCACATTGATAGGAGTGTAAAATTGGCCCGCGCCTCGTATCTGCCCGAAACCCGTCCACGGCCCGTGGGTGGGCCCGGCCCGGCCTGTTGACAATGTGAATGTTCACATTGATATGTTAACATTTACATTGATAAGAGTATAAAACTAGACAGAGCCCAGGGCGGGCCCGGCCCGGCCCGTTGACAATGTGAATATTCACATTGACATGTTAACATTCACATTAATAGGAGTGTAAAATTGGCCCCCGTCCCGTGGCGGCGCAAAACCCGCCCGCGGCCCAGGGCGAGCCCGGTCCGACCCGTTGGCAATGTGAATATTCACATTGACATGTTAACATTCACATTGATAAGAGTATAAAATTGGCCCGCGGCCCGGGCGGGGCCCGGCCCGGCCCGTTGACAATGTGAATATTCACATTGACATGTTAACATTCACATTGATAAGAGTATAAAATTGGCCCGCAGCCCGTGGGCGACCCGAAGCCCGACCGTAGCCCGAGCGGGGCTTGGCCCGACCGTGACAAATTGAATATTCACATTGATAATGTTAACATGCACATTGATAGGAGTGTAAAATTAGCCGCGCCCCGTGGCTGCCCGAAACCCGTCCACGGCCCGGGCGGGCTCGGCCTAGCCTGTTGACAATGTGAATAATTCACATTGACATGTTAAATTCACATTGATAAGAGTGTACAATTGGCCCGTGACCCGTGGGCAGCCCGAAGCCTGACCTCGGGCCAGGGCGGGCCTGGCCCGTTGGCAATGTGAATATTCATATTGACATGTTAACATTCACATTGATAGGAGTGTAAAATTGGCCCGCAGCCCGTGGGCGACCCGAAGCCCATCGCAGCCCGAGGCGGGCTTGGCCTGACCCGTGACAATGTGAATATTCACATTGACATGTTAACATTAACATTGATAGGAGTGTAAAACTTTCTGCTACCCGAAGCTCACCTGCGGCCCGGGGTAGGCCCGGACCCAAACCCGGGCCACCCCAGGCCGCCTACGGGCTTCGGGCCACCCATGGAACGCGAGTAATTTTACACTCTTATCAATGTGAATGTTAACATGTCAATGTGAATATTCACATTGTCAACAGGCGGGCCGGGCCCGCCTCGGCCGCCCACGGGCGTGGGCGTGTTTCGGGCAGCCACGGGGCACGGGCTAATGTTACACTCTTATCAATGTGAATGTTAACATGTCAATGTGAATATTCACGTTGTCAACGGGCCGGGCCCACGTCGGCCCGGACCGGGCCTCGGGCTGCCCATGGGTCACGGGCTAATTTTACACTCTTAACAATGTTAATGTTAATATGTCAATGTGATATTTACATTGTCAAGAGTCGGGCCGGGCCTGCCCTTGGGAGCGGGCGGGCTTCGGGCCGCCCACGGGCCACGGGCCAATTTTACACTCCTATCAATGTGAATGTTAATATGTCAATATGAATATTCACATTGTCAACGGGCCGGACCGGGCTCGCCTCGGGCCGCCCCATTGGGACGGGCGAGT